GCCATAAGTTAGATACATGGAAGCCCAAGGGCGGATCCAGCCAAAATTTTAGGGGGGGGGGGCTAATTGAGTTTAGGGGGGGCTAATTGAGTTTCTTCCGTCAACACAACGGAAAACAATAAAAAAAGCATCTTCTTCATTTTTGTTTTGTTATTGTTTTTCTTCTTTATACCCCCTGGATCTGCCCTTGAAGGCATTTCAATGTCAGTATCGTGTACGTGCTGCATGCGAAAATTATCTATTATACGAGTTGAATGGATAGAATTGTCAAGTATTTAGCTTACAAAGGAAACAGCTTCAAACTTTAGGAATCCACGGTTCCTGTGATTATTCTGTAAATAAATCCAAAAAGGTAAGTAAAAAAGTCAAAAGAAAGACAAGATGCGTGGACATGATGGCGTGTATCCGTGCAGGAGACAGCCAGGGATCTCTAGTACCACCGACATGGCGACGATAAAGAGACATTACAAAAAATATATTTAGCGAAAAATACCTACCTGGAGCTCAGCAGGCCTGACTACGAACATGTTTTCATGACGAAACTTAAACTTCTCCCCTACTTCATAAAATCCAGGTTCTGGAAATCCGTAAAAGATATTAAAATTAAAGGATATGGTGTATTGAAATAGGGATGGTTTTGTATGTTATGAAACGCAAATTGATTAGTATCAAGTATTCTTTGATACTAGAGGTGTGCGACGTTAGTAGAGTTGTTCAGTAATTATAAGCGATGGTGTTCTTGGTGATGAGGATATGACGAATGCAGGTAGAGGAAGAGTTAAGGGGAGCGCAAAAGCAAACAATAACAAAGGGGACAGCAAGGGGACATCGAATCTCACCAATCGTCACAAACATCCCATCCTGCAGAGGGAGTGATAGATAACTCGTCCTGCCCCATGTAAGAGCTTCAGGATTCTGTACTCTGGCAATACAGTAAGGACCTGTAATATAACAAAATATCAACATAAGCAAATATCATGCATACAGCAATACAAACTGTTGAACATCACGCCTTACACAAACAATAGTTTTGCGAAGAAGAGACGGGGAGGATAGACATTTCTAGCTCAGTTGACTCGAAACATACTGAAGACAATAAGTTACAGACTGATTACCTTCCACGACAAGTAACACGTGACCGACACCATGTCCAGTATACAGTAAATAATCCTGTCCGATATCCCATAATGCCTTGCGGGCAAAGGCATCCAGTGCGTGACCTATCGAAAGATGGAAGGGATTCCCATTCCGTAAAATATTAGGTTATAAATAAAGTAGGAGTTATAGTGCGTTTGTTTCATTTACAGGAAAATTACCATCATGTATCAATACTACACAATTGTCATCATTATGAAGGTCATCAATCGTCATCTCTATCAACAGCAACACCAGTTATCATCTTTGTTAAAATTTATCATCATCATCATCATCATCATAAACATCATAAGTTTCATCAATCATCACTGACACCATCAATCACCATCATTATGATCACCACCACCCCAGCTGATCATGATCATCATCGCCGTCTTCATCGTCATCACTAACATCATCAATCACCATTACTATCACCATCATTATGA